TAGTTCGAAATAACTGTTTTATTATTTAAAAAAAATATTAAACAGCAATTTAATCTTTTATAAAAAAACAGTTTTAATTAGTGTTTTATAAAAAAAAAACTATTTTAATATTTTATAAATTAAAATTAGGAAGTCAAGGTTTTAGAAAAATAACGAAGTATACATGTGCATATATATATAGTTTTTAAGTATGGTTTACTGCACAGTTAATCTCTACAGTTATTATATGTAATATAATTATCAGTTTGATATCCCAATAATAGCCTATAAAATCTAAGAATCTGAAACTAAAAAAGTGATAGACTTAACATCTAAAAGGTACAGGAATACGTCGTCGATCAAAACTTTCGTTACAGACCGCTAGGCTCAGACTTTAAATCAAATATTCTCCGTCTGGAAACCATAACATTTAACAAATTGAAGTTTTTCAGAGGAGTTATGATCCACACGGATATCACGTATTTTGACCGAAAATAATCATTTCTATGAAAATTGAACCACCGCAACATCTATCTGGAGTTCAATTAATTTTAAGTATGTGTCTCGCAAATTGCTTTAGTATTACGTTGATTCCATGGCTGACAGTTTATCTCACCTACAGAATAGATAAACTTTTCAAACAAACAAATACAAATATATCTTTACTTTAAATTTATCCTAACTCACCACTTGTAAAGCTTGAAATTTAACATAAAAATGCCAGTCAACTGGATCTGGCTGAAAACACAAACTTCCTTAAAACTGTTCTAATTTAAATAATCTAATTACATCTAACGAAAATTATAAAATTCACCTAAGATCGCAACAGTGGTTCAAACTTTTAACTTACCAAACCAAATATAACTTTGTTTTATCTAACTCGAGAAAGCGGTGATTTTCCAAGAGAGAGAAAACCCACAGCAGGCAGTGTCAGCGTGAATACCATAATTCTCATATCATATCTCATTTCTCATATTCTCATATACCCAAATTCTCATATTCTCATATATATACAGCTACGCACACTTCTATTCTTTCTGTTGATCTGACTTATCTCACCTGATCAACAGTAGCATCAGATCAGGTCTCTGAAGTCAAAGCAAACCCTAGAATTAAATCGTGGCAAGGGGTCAAGATTGCGCCTGGTGTTGGGAAGCGCCTAGGGCACTATGCAGGTGACGAAACGGCTTTGCCTAGTTCCGTCCCAAGTTTTGATGGAGAACACACGGGTCCGAGGATTTCTCCACCCTTCTTTTCCTAACACCAATCTCTCGAGAGGACTATCGACTCGCTGGATATTTACAGTGGCCCTACACCGCGCAGGCACTGTACATTTACATACATCCATGGCTTCTCCGGGAGTTGAACCCGGGCCGTTTCGGTACGGCAGTCAGAGTCGCTAACCACTATTCCGGGTAGGCGGCACAGTTCTAACTTTATAGTACAACTACTTGCTACTCAGATCTACATAATTTCTAGAACGAGCGAACATCATGGCGAAATGAGGCAAGTAGAAAAAAAGTAAATTAAATAAAACGTTTGTTAATGAAACCCAAGCACAAATTGTTTACCATCACAAATTGTCTGGATTAAATAATCATTTCTATCAGTCTAGGAATATAGATTTATTTAAGTATCTTGAGACAAATTGCTCCCATTCTCCCATTCTGCTCCATGCTCCCATTCTGGTTTTGAGAGTAATTACAGAATTGTTCCTATTCTCGGTCTCTGAAACCCCAAAACATGCCTAATATGCACAAGAAAATGACTGTTGCTGAATGTTTCCATTTTGCTATAGGTAGTAAGTTAGTTTTAAGCAAAAAAAAAAAAAAAAAAGGGGGGGCATGTTTAAATATGAGTGGTCTGACGTTCATTCTGAAAATTAAAAATAAATAAATAAATAAAAAGAAATAGAAACGAAAAACTTAAATTTATTAATAGAATTCCTTATATATGAAGTTTTAGTTGTTTTTTTTTGGGGGGGGGAGGGGAATCAGCAGTTTGCGATGTTACGCACTAAATTCAGCATCGAAATATTAGTACATGTAATCCATCTATTGAATATGAAAAAAAGGCCATTTTAATGGCATTTAAACTAACTATTTTCGACATATTATGTGTCTACGCTGTGCGCAAGATAAAAAACACAATTAATCTTTCGTTATTTCTTAGCAAAATAGCGTACTTGTTGTCTCAGGTAATTCTGATTCCTCGGTTCACTGGGACAAGAAAGCGCAGTTAAAATAACAAAATAATTTTTTCTTAATGAAGTCCAACGTTATGCACCTGAATTTCAAATAAAAAAGAAGTTAAAAAAGAGTTTTCATTCATTAACATACTTAACTCCTGGTAATAAATTTCAGTAACTCTACTAATTACTATCTGCAGTCAGCATGTTTTTTAGAATCCAATGGTTAGAAACTTATAAAAAGCTCGATTTTATAAAACTTTAAATAATTTAGTAGTTTCTTCGTTTCATAGATAGTAGAACTTCATGGAACGTCACCTTTATCACAAAAAATCGACCAGTTACCTATTTCTGACTTGCTTTATTTGGCCGCTCATGATCATAAAACTTTAAACAGTAAGCTTTCAATTTAAATGCGTATTTGACGCGTAAATATAAGAGTAAATTCAAGTACCCTCCATTTCAATACGCCTGTCCTATATGTCTTCAAATACATCGATCAGTCATTCCCGTTGTAACAAACATTTCCCAGCATGTATCATTGGACACTTTTGGTCTCAAATGAAATTATGCATAAATAACGTTAGTCATTCTTGCATGAAACACTCTTCGAATTACTGTTTCCTCACATTAATCATTTGGAAATCTCATCTCGGTGTAGCATTTCCCACATCAATTGTTTGGATAGAAAAATTATAGAAATAGATGTTTATTGTGTGGTTATACCTTCTCTCTGGACTATAAATGAAAAACTCTTCTAATAACGGTTTATTTTTATTATTACTATATAAATATGAATATGACGAATACTACAGGTTTGAGAGCTTCCAGGATCGTTTTTCCCTACATCGTGTTGAAAAATAATGGACAGAAGTTCCCCAGAGCATTATTTTTTATTCAAAAAGGGGAAAAAATATGATAGATAACAACTTTCGCATTCTCGCTGCTTTCTTTGCCACTTTCTTTCCCCCGAGAAGATTTTAGTATAGATAGAACGTACGGTACATTTTGGGGGCAGGAAAGTAGTCACGGAGCACGCAATACGAAACCGTTTGCACGCTTTTCTAGAAGAATGTGCAACTTTTTATTTTGTGCACAGAACAGGTGTATATTCATCACAGGAAAAAAAAAAGATATACGTAAAATAAAAGGCAAAACATAAGATTTCAACTGCTGTACAATAACATATAAATGATAAAGGGTCGCTGTTAATAAAAAATAAAAGAAGAAAACAAAATCATGAAAATCATACTTTTAGAAAGAAATAAAAGATAGAATAAGAATCAATTAAATCTTATGGATTTCGAAAAACTTGAAAAGTTTCAAGGAAATCTAAATTCCTAACTGAAGACTTTTGATTATTGCAACAGTAAGTAATAAAATGCATAATCATATATATATATATAAAGGATTTAAAGTTTAGATGATCTGTAATAGTCTTTGTTTTCACATTCTTTTTAATGTTCATGCTCTTTTCATTAATTCAAATTTAAGACTTCTTTATTTTGACCATTTTACGCTAAAGCACAATAGATAGAGGTGTTATAAATTTACGAGAAATTCAGGTCTGCTATAACAAAGTGGATTATTCAGGTTATAGCAAAACACATTCATACAAAGGATTATGTACCTTTGTGGAGAACGTTTTTTTACAGAAACTGACTCTTATTCATGTTACATGGATTTTGGGGGAAGCATCCACGAAACTCCTTTACAGCGAGCTTGTTCGCCAGATTTGAGCTGGAGCAGAATTAGGAGTGTTGTCTGGTTTTACGGCTCAACCGTTAAAAGGCCAACCTAGTATCGGATATTTAATCATTAAATCATGAAATTAATCTCATTAACGATGTAATTACTCTAAACAGACGAAATCGTAATTTAACGAAAGCAGATAAGGGAGAATTAGTTTTCAATGAAACATTATCATTCATTATGATGTAAGGAAAAATATTTAAGTGCAGACAGTTCCTATATAACACGGCTCTCCTACAAAACGATTTCAATGTACACAGTTCAACCAATGAAAAGAAAACTCCCTTATTTAGTACCTTCGACAAAATTCCTGACACTTCCACTTCATAGGTTGTTAAAATAAAATACTATTGAGATAAATCCTCGTCAGGACAAAGTTAAAAAGAAGCGGGAAAAGAAGAAATAGTCAATTTCGCCGCCAATTAACCAAACAATTTGGAATAACGACAGGATTTTGGAATACAAGTTACAGATTAAATTAATAAAAGATATATTGTTTTCTCCTTTAACTTGTAGGAATAGATTAATTTCGGTTTTCATCAAGCCAGTTTTTTATCTTCTCTCTCAATGGTACTAAGCGAATCAATACTCAATTTAGTTAGTAATAAACTAATCAGAACTCCCCTTTTTTTTGTTAAAAGTTTTGTTTTGTTTTGTTTTAAATATCAACTCCGTAACTGTAGCTTCTAGATAACTTTTATATCAGCTAATCTCGGCGGACAAACCTTGACTCTTTAGACGACCCAAGTACGCACAAATAGCAACAAGATCAACTCATTAAATTGTCCCAACAGCAACTCTTCCTACCATATTTGAATAAAGCTCGTATAATTCTTCTTCCTACCACATTTAAATACAGGTTGTATTTGAATATTACGTTTCTCAGAGTTTTATTACTTTTCTCACCCCCACCCCCTTAATAAATGGCGGCAAGCATTGCAGACAGAGAACCAAAAAAAGTTAGAACTAAAGTTACATTTTTTGTGAAAAGTAAAATTTACAAGTTCTATAATTATTAAATTGGTAATATATTAACACGATGCATTACTAAATCTTCTGTTATTTGATTGTGACTCTCTAGGAATACGGCGCCAGGAGAAGCCTCCTTACTCCTACATCGCGCTCATCGTAATGGCCATCCAGAGTTCCCCTTCTAAGCGAATGACTCTAAACGAGATCTACCAGTACTTACAGAGTCGTTTCCAGTTCTTCCGGGGAGAATACCAAGGTTGGAAGAACTCAGTTCGACATAACTTATCGCTTAATGATTGTTTTATAAAGCTACCTAAAGGACTGGGTAGGCCAGGGAAAGGCCACTATTGGACCATCGATCCAACCAGTGAATTTATGTTCGAAGAAGGTTCCTTTAGAAGAAGGCCCAGAGGTTTCAGAAGACGGTACCAGGCTTTGAAGCCTTACGCACAGTTTTACCATTCAGCTGCCGTAGGCAATTTCGTTGGTGAGTATTTCATAAAAAAGTGCTTTTGTTATTTCTTTTTTACTACTGATGGAAGGGAAGGATTCTTTCATTTTGTGCTTAAGGTTTTGTTAAGATATAAAATCAAGTATAAAAAAAAGGTAACTGTAAATCGATGATGTAGGACAATGGTCTCAAGCTCAAATTGCACATGGGTCGAATGCACGATCTGAGGGTAACTGACGGCCGGGAATTTGTTTAGTAATAAAATAAAAATTTTTATCTAAAGTTTAAATTTTTATCAGTTATTTATCAAAACATGCATAAGTAGCAATAATGATGACGCAAAGAAAAAAAAAATCCAACTTATACATATTTTCTGCTTGAAATCTAAAGGATGGTACCTGCAAAAAATCCTTGTTGATTACACTTTGTAATTCAAATGAAGTGACAGCTAAATATTAAATTTTCAGACTGACATTTTATAAGGTATTTCTCTCGCCTTCTTAGAGTGCCTTGGTGGTGTAGTGGTCAGCACGCTCGACCCGTATTCGAGAGGTCCGTAGTTCGAGTCCCGGCAAGGGCACTGCCCATTTTTCATCGCTCTTGCTTCTAAAAAAATCCTAATGTCTCTACAGTGGTGCCCAAACTAAATGGTGGAGAATGATGATTCTTCATCACCAGGATTTGGCTATTGGGTCTCCTAAACCCCAGTCGACCTTTAAAAGGGGGTATATAAGATACTTCTTCCACCTACTTAGCATGCCTTCGTGGTGTAGTGGTCAGCACGCTCGACGCGCATTCGAGAGGTCCATGGTTCCAGTCCCGGCGAGGGCATTGCTCATTTTTCGTCTCTCTTGCCTTCAAAAAATTCTAATGTCTCTACAATTTAGTGTAATAATTATTGAACTAACCATTGACTTATTAACTTAAATTTAAAATAAATAAATTATGAAAATTTCTTAAGTGGGAACAAAATTTTTGAATAAATAATGACAAGCTATTCTTTTTCTTTTATTTATTAAAATTTTCTTCGACGCATACAGAATATATATATATATATTTGCATGTAAATAATTATAAACTTTTTTATTTCTTACTTCAATTGTCAGCTACAGCATCTCATGCGATTTCAATTTCGATAAAGTTTGTTACCTTAAAAAAATTCCTAGCAGATCTCTTCATCTCGAATCATCGGCAATTCGGTTCTTATTAATTTTCAACTGCGATAAAAACTGTTCACATGTAAATGCACTCGCAAACAAAGCTTATTTTTATTGGGAAACTTAGAATTGAAGGTATTTACCTTTTGACAGATACAAATAAAAGTTAATTAAATCTGTATCTTCAAATCTTTGAATAATATTCATATCTTGGAGTAAATTAATTAGCTCCATATGTAAATTTTTAGGGCGCTACTCAAGCTTGATTTTGGTAATGAAAGTAATGTAAAACTGAACTCCAAAACATTAAAATCTTGAACTTTTTCTTCAAATTATTCTCATAATAGTGCTATTTAATTTATGAAAAATATAGTCGAGTGCCGTGCAAAATTGCTTCGGAGGTTGCATGCGCCTCGCGGGCTCCCGTTTAAGACTACTGAGGAAGAGGATCATTATATTCTATAATATAAAGTTCCGTTCTTAATCAGCCTTAACAAACTGAATTATTTTTTAAAAAATCTTCTACTTCTTAACAGCACTTTGGATTGTAACCCAAGGAAAGATCTTTTGAATAATATCGAGTTTAAAATAATTCCAAATGAGTTTTGAAGGAAGAAGACAGTTTCTAAAGGATTTTTATTATTATTATTTACTTGTGTCACAGTTTTTTCAAATGTAATTGCTCATGAAATTGCATACGAAATCGGAAATATTCCATGCATTGTGCAATTAGAATGATGCATTAGCTTTTTAGTCTCTCTTACATCCGTACGTTACAGAAAATACACGGGTTGGAGTAAAAAAATTAAATCACCTATATCTAGAGAGTACTGTATTAAAAAAATGTGGGTACTATTTTGTAGGTCAATATTTCAGTAACTCTTCTTAGGTTTGGCCGATACAAGTTTTATTTAGTCATTAAATATATTTTTAGCCATTCTTGTAGCAAAATAGTGGTTGTTCATCTCATGATGATAGAACAAGGAAACATTTTCCAACATTGTCTTTTAGTATACTCCAGATTTGGGAATTATGCAGAATACCGAAAATGTCATTTTCATTTTAAGTCACTCTGTCACTAGTTTTGTGATGTGAGCCGAAGCACTGTCAGGCTGATTCATGGCACGCCCTTCAGCATACAAAGTTTGAACAACTCAGTGGCCTTGTTTTGCCGATTCTCTTAGACAGTTATGTGACCTTCAAGAATAATCGGTGTTCTTATAGATTTCTATAATACTTCGGCCCAAATTCTCACCAGTCCATCTGAAAAATACACATTTTTCACTGCGTATTTTCCAACTACAGGGTATTTATAAATGTTTACCCTGATTACAAAACATGGTAGCCCATGACTATACACAGATAACGAAACATGCATTGATTCTCAAATGCATAAAATTTTATATTCCTATAGAAAACATTTATAATAAACAACTACATGTGCACTCTGATAGTACGCAAAGAGTTGCACTCCTCAAATTTCTAACACAAACCTCGCTCCTAGATATCTTTCTTTGGAGGAATGTTAAGCCATTGTGTACCAAAAAACACTTCCTAATGTAATGTCGTTGCCACAGCACATCACAGACACTATTCACAAAATAACACAATAAATTGAAGAAATGTAGCGTAAAATTGAGTTCTCATTGGACAGCTTGGGTGCTGCCACGGATGCAGCACCCAAACTATCCAATGAGTAATATGTATTTGAGGTTCAATGCATGTTCAACGCATGTTAGATGTGCACAAGTATGAGTTATGTTTTGTAATCAAAGTAAGCATTTGTGGGCACCCTATATTACGCTACAGGCACTACAGAAATCAACATTTAATACGAGCATTGGATACAAGGGGCTTTCCCACAGCACCCCAACCGTTACTATAGACATTTTAAGCTCCTAATAGGCAGCTTTTATACGAGTGACTGACTGTCTGTAATATTCTTTTCAGATAACTTGTTACCTATACAAGCATCTGGATCAGATAAAGTTCTTCTGAGTGTACAGAACTACTACTCGATAAATCAAAAAGATTAGCTCTCTTGGTTATGGATAGACCAGCTCGACGAGCGTAAAAAGTTTCTTCACTTTCGAACTCTGATATGCTCTCATCTGATAAATTCTCGAACTTAGTCAGTCAAGTCACTACTCCAAATACTGTTAAAAATTTAAACTTCAGGTTCTGCTGCTAACAGAAGCAGAACCTACATTGAGGATTTTAAATTATACTAACAGTATAATTTAAATTCCTTCAAAGTACTCAATCGAAAGTGCATATGCAGATTACAAAACTTAAGTACTATCTCCGCCTACAGCTTCAAATTTGTTATCTAGGTTCCCAAAGAATATACGTTTTCCCTTTTACTCTACGTCAGAGGTGGGGAACCTTTTTACCATGAGAGGCCACAATTAAGTTAGGCATTATATAGAAATTATACAGAAATTGCATTATACAGAAATAATGCCCAAAAAAAAAAAAAAAAAAAAAAAACATTAAATTATTTATTAAAATAAAAATCTACAATATGAAAGATTTTTGTATTCACATAAGGATAATAACTTATTATATCATTAACATTTAATAATTTTTAATAAATAACTACATATATTTAAATACTGTTTAAAATAAAAATAATAAAGTAGGAGTAGTTTTAAATAAATTTAATGCATTTTAAAGGAAAACAAAATAATAGTTAAAATCTGATGGAAAATTTCCTTTAGTGGGATATTTGCATTTCTTTCTTGTCTGAAAGTAAGTGAATATTTGCATCAAGCTTCGTAACGCGCAGCCTTAATAGATCCTCTAAATGAGCATCTGTAATTTGCGTTCTTAAACTATAGTTTTAATTTTTGTCATGAGAGAAAATGTTGACACGCAGCAGTAAGTACTTCCGAAGCAGGGAAAGCAAACGGCGTACATGCTCTCATAGGCATGGGTATTCAACAGCATGTTTCTAGATGTCTATGGTATACTCTTTAGTGTAAAAAAAAAAAAAAAAGATTTGAGGATATTATCTTCCTGCAACTCAAATAACTCCATTTGCAGTTCTGTAGGAGCTTTGGATATATTTACTAAATGTAGTTCAAATGCCAGTTAAATAGCAGAAGTGTGCTCATCAAAATCTGAAAATCTTTCAGCATTACATTAAAAAAATCCAGGATACCTACATATTCATCGAATGTTTTATTTTTATATTTTCCCTCATTCAACAGTTTTGTTTCCTCCGGGAAGTGTTCTGCAGATATATCGAGCAAGAGAGCAATGTTTTCAAAAATGTTAATTTTTTTTCGAAACACTTGAATCTTTTGCCACATTTTGTATAAATGCTTCGTTTTACCTTGCAGGCAAATAATTTTGTCATAATATAGGACAAAAATGCAATATTTCTGCAAAATGTTCCATCTGATAGATCACTTAGTTTTCCTTGTTCTTGATAAAAAATTTTAATTTGTAGTCGTAAAGTTAAAACTTTTATCCAAACCTGTCCTGTTGATAGCCAGCGAACATTGCGGTAGTACGGTAGATCAAAAATGTAAGATTCCTCCTCTAAATTTAGCTTCTGACGAAATTCATGATGACGCATAGCATTTACGCGAATATAGTTGACAATCGAAATAGAACGCGAATATAGTTGATAATCGAAATAGAAATCCAGAGTGTCTTGCAAATTTTTTTTTTCCCCACCGCAAATATTTTGTTGATGCAAAACGCAATGAAATGGTATCAACTTTTTTAATACCAAAAGTTTATTAAAATTATTTATTAAAGTTTTTTAATCCCCAATTTTTCTTTTTTTTAATATAGCAACGAATCCTTTTTTACTTTTCATAGAAGGTGCGCCATCGGTGCAGACGCTGACTGAATTACTGACATTTGATTGTAATCGAAGGCATACTCTCTGAAGTTTTTTAAAATGTCAACTACGAGAGTTTTTCTAGTTAGTGTACCTACCGTAAGAATTTCTTCGTAACACTGGAAATCTTTTGTTACAGCCCGAATAAAATATAAAACTTGCGCCTAGATAGGAGGGCTGTGGAATCG